ACCCAGCTTGTCTGGGAGCCACTTGGCCCTCACTATAGTCCTTTTCATCACAGATCTCTGGGCCTCACTCTACAGGCTGTAGCTCAGAGACTAAAGGCAGGCGAGTCTTGGGAATTTGTGCTTCTACTTGCTTTTTTTTTTTGCAGCATGTCTGTAGACAGGCTTTGAGGATTATTGGAATACATAATCTTTAGAATTCTAAAGTCCGATGCTTCTGTAAAAGCAATGAAGATGAATGGAGATTCCCCCTCTCTTCTAATCAGTCCCTAATGATCACAGCTGCTGATTAGAGGAAAAGGAAGGTTCATTTCAAATTAAGAATAATTATTGAAATAATGAAAATAAGAGTCCTTAATATCAAGTAGTTAGTGCAAGCAGCAACGAATAAAAGAGTGTTCCATTGTCCTCTGCCTTAAGATTCTAAAGAATATTGACAATTCTCCACTTCCTCCTTTCAGGAAGTAGGGGGAAAAAGATGAACTTATTCAGAATTCTGTGTACTTTGCCCTTTAGAACTAGATGGCGTTACTGAAAATAATATGGATTCCGGCACATTACAATATATAAATATCAGAACCTGAATATGAATGTGAAGCACATCTTTGGCCTTTGGGATATTAAAATGCTTGATGAGCCCTGGACACACATTACGTATAAAAAAAAGAAAAAGTGGTCCTTCTAAGGTATGTTAAGATCCCACATAAAAAAAAAAAAAAAACAATGTCTTCTTTGCTGTCCTCTATAGCACCTTGTGTACATTGAATTTTAATAGCTATTCAATAAGAAACAGCTATAATACTTATCATCATGAATTAAGCTAACTGCAACTAGTATCTTGGCAATAGGAAGAAGGAGAAAATAGAGTAACTTTGAGGTCGCATAGTGATAGATACACATTCATAACTTCTTGGAATATCTTAGTTGTCTTTATAGTACCTTCTGTTCTACAACTAACTCATTGAATCTGTGAGTTTTTTCTATTTTTATTCAGTTTAAGTTTATACATGCAGTTTATGTATAAACTCACCCATTCATACATTTGGCAACATTTTTTTAAGTACACCCTGTGTGCAAAGTACTTCTTGGGCACGTTAGAAAATTCATTGACTCTTTCCTTATAGATTATCTTTTCTTCTGTAATTAATCATACCAAATACTTTAGCCAAAGTATCTCCCACCCTTTGTCTCAAAGCCTGTGTTTTTCTTAGGCCTAGAAACATTTATGTCCCTAGGTCAGAATGCATGACGTTTACTATCTCAACAGCACCATTGCATTCCCATCTCTGTTCCCCAAAGCAACGTCATTGTCTCCTGAGACAGCCCTGTGAACTCAGGCTCTGCTGCTGGGCTCCTTGTATCACATTATATCACAGCTGACTCAGTTTCCCATTGTTCCCATTCATTTGATTCAAGTCTTGCCTCTTTAAGAAAGTTTCCTCACTTTTGGGAGTGAGCTGCAGTCACACCTATGCCATTATCTTACCCATCCAGGTGGAATTAGTCTGTCATGTAATATGCAATATAACCAAAGTATGATATGACCCAGATTATTATTCGAGATTCTACTGTGTTGGAACTACTGGATCTGAGATGCTGAGCAATGAAACTCAGTCTTGGACAAATAAAGTGTTTAAATCAATTTCAGTGTTGACAGAATGAGGGACGGTGTAGATAATAATACTACTCAGCATAGGCTGCGTTCAAATTAGCAAGGTGGACAGAAACCTAAAGTCACAAGTTACTATGACTCAGAGATACCACATTCTGCACACACATGTACACACATTATATTTTTAAATATGGCTTGGTCATATTCGAATACTTCTAATTTCATTCAGTACAAAATTTAAAAATGTTTGACAGTTTAGTGTAATGGTCTTTCTGATTAAAAGCCAGAATGCTATCTGAAGAGCATTACTGTATAGATATGTGGTTTTTCCCTTCTTTTCTTCCTTCCTTTCTCTACCAATATCTGGTCCCAGGAGGACTTTTTGATTCCACAGCAGTAGAGGAGGAGCTTGGATTGTCATGTGAACTTTGTTGCTGGTTCTGTTGGACGTTCCACTGAGCTCAACACTTGTGGCTTGGGTGACTTGGCTGAAGGATCAAGCAGTGCTGCCTTGGGATGGCCAGGGTCTGATAATCCATTCTGAGGATCTGGGCAGTCTTCCCTGCTGTCTAGGCACCTCCCATGTCTCCTAATGACAGCACTCTGAGACTCATTGGTGTCCCCACATCAGATAATTCCCTTGAGATTTCTAGAGTCTTTTTCCTCCTGAGTGGTGCCTTGGTAAGGCGTGCAGTATCAGTTTGTATTCCTAGGGATGTTGCAGAGGATATTCTGAATAGCTAAGACACCTTCAACAGTTTATATTCAGCCAAGAGAGGGACAGAGAGGAAGGACAGGGGAGGCTTACTTGGAAGAATTTAATTTGCTTATTGTGGAACTGCAGGAAAGAAGTTACCAGGCTTCAGCGGGGGCATGACATTAACAGCCTGGTATCATTTGCTCATGAGTTTTTCATGAATATCATGATTTCCAACAATAAATCACATTCATCTGCAGTATACAAGAGAAATTGAAGTTCAAAGGTGACAACTACGCACTGTCAGTGGTGAGATTTGAGACCAGACAGGGCTAAAGTGACAGAGTCAAGAAGACCCCACTCCAGAAGAGCAGGACTGAGTCAGCTTTGATCACTAATGTGTTATTCCTTCCTGAAATAGAGTAGGTATTTTTAAAAATGAATGAATGATAAAAACAATGAACTTCCACCAAAATTCCTGAAGAGATAGCTGTCTGAAGTTTCCCTTTGAAAATTCGGTTTTGTAAACATTCACCCTGATGTGTCAGCTTCACTGGGTGGGAAACACCAGCATATTCTTAAAGCACGCCCCTGGATGTGTCTGGGTGGGCCATGGAGGTGTAGTACCTGTTCCTTCGTGCATTCCTCTCCTGCACTGCCTTGGAGCCAGTGGAGAACAGACTGAATTCCTCCAAACCATGAGCCACACGAAACCTTTCGTCTGTTTGAGTGTGAGTGTCAAGTAATAGTTCCAAGACTAGGAGCACTGACTAAAGCAGGCTCTAAATTTATGGATACAGTAAATGTCGTAGGAATATAAATACCTTCTTTCATATGGAATTATTTTCTTTCCACCACCAAGTCAGTTCATCCTATAATGTTTCAGGTTCTTTTATTAAGAGCCTGGATGCCTGCAGCACTAAGGAGTGGAAGCTTTATTCTGCTTGCGCTGAAGTCTGGAGGGAGACCCTTGGAACTGTTTGCTCTGGGCTAACATGTGTCCCCTGCTGGAGCTGCTTCAGAACACAGCCACCCTGCTCAGTGAGGGCAGCGAGCCGCTTTCATCCTAAAGTCTGACGTTAGGATGCAGCAAGTGGAGCTTTCAAAAATGGGAATGTGCAGAGAAGTCCCTTCACTGCCTGCTAAATTGTGTTACCTTTGGCATCATCAGTTTTCATGCTGAGGGATTTCAGGTTGAGCCAACCCTACAAGACATTTCTATTACTTTAGTAACAGAATTCAGAGGGCCATGTGATTTCATTTAGACTGATTTTGAGGCTTAATCCTTGCATTACAAATATTAAGAAAATATCTTGGAAAAGTGCACGTTGAATTTCAATACTAGTATAGACTCACTGGGTTATCTGAATTATGGTCATTAAGGTTTGATATTACAAACCCTTCCTAAAACATATAGAATGCTCCTTCCTGTAGTCTGGTACCTGATTTTTATATTCATCGTGTCATTTTTCTGTTGTAGTAGTTTATAATCAAGCTATTGTTAATTCTACTTTATAAGTAAAGAACATGTGGAAATAACCTCGAAAAGCTTAAGCAGCCCATCTAAAGTTATTCTTGTAAAAAGTTGAAAAACATGGATCTGACTCAAGACTTCAGCTTACAAATAAAGCAAACGCTTAAGTTCACTGCTTTGGCACATACACCCTCCTGGAGAAGTACTTAAATATCCACTTTCTTGGAGTTCTTATTATTTATTTTTACAATCTCTGTTTTTCTGTTCTGGGCACCTATTATGTTATTCAGCTTGAAGGTGGAATATGCAAAGAATAAAAGGCAGATGCTCACAGGAATTGAAAGGTGGCTTCCTTTACTTGTGGCAGAGCAGCAAGAATTTGGGGGTACAATGTGATCTTTGAGTTATTTTCTGAGAAATTCAACAGCTATTTCTGGTGTTCACCTCAGTCTGAGAAGTCTGGATCGAGTGACAAGTGTTGAGATTTTTGTTGTGCCTGTCTTGGGACATGGAAGTGATTCACAAAAGTGAGTAAATTTTCTCTGAGCTTTTTCAAGTAGTTCCTTTAAAAAAAACTAATTTGAAGAGGGTTCAAACGAATAAAACAAGGTCAGATTTAAAGAAAGGAAAATGGGTAAATAAAATGCATGATTAATTGTAACCTTCTGCAGAGCTCAGTTATAAATTGCACTAAATGGTCTCTCCTGGCCTGAACTCCATACAAACTATTAAAGGTGATGGGCCCAGGACCCTCCAAACAAAGCCTTCAGAAATGGCTTTGGTGCATGAGAACTGGTAATTTATCTTTCTACAGTCTTCCAAATGCAGTGAATTTAGGTATTCACTATCTTATTTAGAGAGCATATATTTAGGAATGAAACAGACACACACACACACACACACACACACACACACACACACACACACAGAATAAGTATTTGCTGGGTAGAATTTAGGTTAAGCCCAAAGTATGGGACAGGGACAGAATATCCAATTGGAAACTGAAGAACTTTCTTTCCTTTTTCTTGTTTCTTTTCTCTTTTTAATCTGTCCCTTTTTTCATGAAGCAGTTAGTTATTCCAGGAATCATTTTAAGTCAGTTTCTATTGCAGGGATTCATTATATTCACTACACAATCCCCACAATCCCTTTCCAAATGCCCAGGAGAAGAAATCTGATTGGACTGACTCTGATCCAATCAGCTGCAAGAAGCTGGGGCGAGCCAGGAACCAGCCACTCTGAGAAACAACATAAGCATCCCAGGTTGGGGACAGCAGAATACCTGCCAGAGAACCTGAAGATATTTCCTCCCCACAGCAGGTGGAGTATATAAAGTTAATTGCCTTGGTATATGCGTTCTGATTATAACATACTATATTTAATTCCTGATGCTCAGAGAAACTAGTTTATCTGAAACTCTCACATCCATTGCACACAGCAAAGGATTTGTTTTAGCTTAGTTCTTCAAAAGACACACAGAACTCTTCATTCCCAACACCACACACACACACACACACACACACACACACACACACACACACACACGCGCGCGCGCGCGCGCGCGCGCGCGCGCGCGCACACACACACTACATTCCGAGCATCCCTTCCTGTCTCCCGCTTCCCTGCAGCATACACCAGAGATAACTGTAAACACGAAGAACATATTATTGGCCTGATGGCAAGGAGGATAATAATACCTCCCTCTAGCTTTATTCAAAAGGATGTTGTTGACAATGAATACACCACTGTTTATTGAGAACTTTGAGTTTCTCGGAAGACAGTCACTGTATAAATACAAGGTATTATTACTATTATTACCATGTTTAACATTTGGTTAATAGTAGGAAAGTTCTTTTACAATCCTAGCTGTAAACTATAGCTGTAAATTTTTTCCTCCTTTGAAACTGTTCCAGAGGCTTTGAACAATGATACTGAAGTAACAATTCAAGTACATCACTGTGCCTAATGAATAACAACGCTCTTGATTAATGGCACTTGTTCAACATCACACTGACAGAACTATGATGTGTAAAAAAAATGGAGTTTCTGCCTACTGTGATTTTTTTCTCCAGTAAAAAAAAAAGGCATCATCAAAGCTTTTTTTTTTTAAGAGCTGGATTTTTTTTATTACCTTTTCATCTATTCAACTGCTGCTGTATTTTTCTTTGGACAAGTACTGTGCGTCTGTCTCATGCTGGCGCTCCTATCAGACTTAGCACTCAAGAGATCTGCTGCAGGGGCTGCTAGGCATCTCCACACTCAGCGAGTCCCTGCTACCCTGATGCCAGACCTCTGCCAGGCTAGAAAGCAAGAGGGGAGCGGAAAAAGGGAGGCCAAACTTTACTGAAAGGAACACACTGATCACAGCTGACAAACCCAGCCAGGTGCTGGGAATATCTATCATGAAGCCATTGGTGAATTGCAGGTGACTAAAGGCATACTTCACGATACTGATTCAGAGTTTATGTATTTTACTAACCTTATTTCATGGGGTTGAAGATATACAGTTTTACGCCCCCCCCCAACCCTCTACAAGCTGGAAATAAATTCCTCTTTGGCTGTATATCAGAGAATGATGCTGACCGTTGGCGCCCATCTCTCCAGGCGAATGTACTGCCTGTATTTTTTTTTCTTTCATCCAGAGGCTGTGGAGCAGGACATTTCTGTATGAACTGCCAAGAAGGAAAAAGCTTGCAGTTCAAGGTGAGAGAAGTGTGCGACTCAAATGCTGGCTTTAGCTTCTTGCTCCGTCCCTGTCTTGCAGATTGTTCCATCTGGTGGTGATTTGAATGGTTAGCACTGTTGTCAGCTATCTCTGCACTCCAGCTTTTCTCTCTCCTGGCAGGAACATCTGGGACATAGACTTTACAAACAGTAATAATAACCCTACTTTAGCTTTCACATTTTTGCAGTTGTTATTATGTCATCATGGTAAATGACCATAATTGACCCCCACAATGAAATGTTGCCAACATTCATATGAATAGCAACTGCAATCGCACAGGCTAGCAGGCATGTGCTTTGCAAATAAAAATTTGCTGAATAGCTGAAATCTCAGGTTCTTTTGTGGACCTGAGTATTTCTGAATTATAATTCAAAATGATTTGTTTCTAAAACAGAAGACTGCTGCATATGGGAACCTAAACTGGAAGTCGGGAATAAGTAAGCATTACACAGATATTTTCAGGATTTGGAGGACCCCTTGTCTTTGGGGTTGATTTAAATACAGTGGTGAGTCGTGAGACACTTTTCCCTAAACACAGAGATCTTGGAATTCTGCTTCTCATCTGAGAGGCACACACTGTGTACACACAAACACGCATGCAGAATTATGGCATCATTGTCATACCAAAGTTATCACTGCCTCTACAGACCTTTGCCAGGACTGGCATCTAACAAGAGTGTGGCCAGGTATCGAGAAGTGAGGGAGAAATGCACAAACACCTATCAGTACTCAGATGTCAGACCATAACTGTGCCTTTTATACTGTGCTCCAGAGGCAATGCAGCTAAATTAGTCCTGACAATTTTCAGCTCATTGGCTGAGAAATTAGGATCATTTCAAGATGGCCATTTCAATAAATAAATGAATGGACAAATAAATGAATGAAATCTATTTGCTTCTATTTACCAAGGAGCTATCTTATTATAGAACGTCTAGTTTTCATTGGACATTTCCCCCCAACTGGGCATGTTGCCTTAAAAAAAGAAACAAAAACCATCACCCTAGACAAACACAGAAAGATGATTTTACAATTAGCTTTTCTTAGATTATGTAATTTTAAAAAGTCTTGCAGATTTGACTATTGTTATTCAGACCTTGTCAGAAATATCATATAGGAAATTTGTTTTTGATCTTTTTGAGACTGAGATGTACTATACTGTTCAGTCTGGCGTTGAACTCATTTTGTAGCCCGGGCTGGCCTCCAGCTCACAGCGATCCTCCTTCTTCAGCCTCTGCAGGGAAAAGTAACCAAGACAATATGTATATTATTATGTAGATTGTATGTCTGCATATTGTTGTGACTTCCAGTTTAACATTACCTTTCATTTCAAACTTGTCTATTTGGGGTGAACTGTGCCTCTTATTTACATATACCAGATTAGCCCAAAGTAATCCTGGTAATATGGGGGTGTCAATTATATTATTTTGTGGGTGCTGGGAAGGGGAATAACTATGTTGTACATTGGATCTTGAAAGGATGCAGTTGAAATGTGGTTGATCAAGGTTGTTCTGACCTAGACCGTGGGGCTCTTGGCAGTATCTGCGAGTCACATGGGAGAGCATGCTCTTCAGCAGGTGCTTACAGTCCTATCTAAACCTCCATGACTTCTTTGGAGCCCTCATCCCATTGGCCCAATACTCATCTCAACCTCCCTGTCCCCTGACCAAGGCCTTTGAAAAATTCCATATTATCTGTCTTCTGTACACTCATGAGAAACCTGGAGCAGTGTCTCATGTCTCCTTAAAATAAATTCTCCCACCATGCACATGGTTGAAATTTTTTCTGGAATAAGTAAGAAATAAGAGTCAATGGAGGCTTGGATAAAAGCATCAGTGTTAAAGGTGGTAATGAGGTTTTGGTGGGTGAATTTTGAGTATTTTATTTAAACATAAAAAACAGTGTACTGGTAGTTTGAATTTAGAGTGTGAGAAACAGAAATTAAGGTTGATCACAAAGTTCCTAAGCTAAAAATGGGGAAGGATGGGTAGGGAAGAAAACAGGTTGAGCAGGAGTGAAAGAGAAAAGTCCATTTTTAATCTGGGCCAATACACTGCCCCTTCCAAGGTCAGGGTTAGACACAAATTGGCCTTCATTCAACTTCCCAAACACATTTTCATTAATTTTCCCAAAGCAGGATCTTATATGCCAGTTTTGATAATAACAATAAAAACAATGCAATGTGTGGGACAGAATTCTAGTCCCTTATGCAAATTCCTAGCTAGAAAGTACGCTTCCTTAGCCCATGAATGTACCATGTTGCTAGGTTGAGTCAACAAGATATGAATGGAAATCATGTATAGACATCCTTGATCATCTCCAACTTGGAGGCAAGTTGCTTTTCTTGGACTTGTCTTTCTGTGAACAGAACAGTCCATGAGCCAACAATCCAACCTTCAACTCTATAAATGATGGTGGAACCACAGGATGCAAGGAGCCCAAGGTTCTGAAAATTTATGGAAGAGATGTCCCATCCTTCTACACTTACTGTTACACTGCCACACCTGAATGAGGTAACTTCTTTTAGAATCACTCAGTTGCTTTTTATATAGAAATATAGCCTATACCCTTAATGATACATAGAGTTTTGTAAAATAAAATGATAATTACATTGACCAGGCACATGCAGATTTTTTTGTTATTTTAAAGAAAATAAAACCAAAAAAAAAAAAAAAAAGACAGAATGAAGCCAATCAAAACAAAACAATGGAAGTGATACAGGGCTTCAAAATAAAATAATAGAAAATCACCAATGGCTACCATAATATACCATTTCATCTTCAAAATAACTGCCTATTCCATCAAACATAATAAAAATCAAATAAAGCAAAAAAAATGAAATGATACAGGACTTCAAAACAGGATATAGGACATTAATGCTGCTACTATAATGCCATTTGTTATCCTCAAAATAGCTCTTCAGAACATCGGACATAGGCATGCAAAATTAACCAACCAATACCATAACTAAGTTGCTAGTTTAACTCAGTTATCCTTTCAGAAATTTCAGGTGTGTGACTTCTAATTTCTACTATGTCTGTGTCACCTGAGCTTATTCTGTGTGGGCTGAGGTCTGGGATTGTATTTTGCTCCTTTGTCTTGACATTTTCCTGTGTTCCCCCGAATCAGACCGTTGCTGAAGGAAGAATCCCAGGTGCTTCCTCATTGGCTGCATTCCCTCTGTGTGCTGCACTGGAGTGGGCACCTGGGTTCCTCCAAGCATGTCTTCCTAGAGAATTATGGGGCAGTGGTTCACTGCTTCTTCCCCAAAGGTAGCAGTACCTCAGGACATGGCTTCTCAGGGTCTGCACTGGGCTCGCTGAATTTCTCTGGGCTGTGGTGTGTGGACATGTAGACTTTTAATTCTTTATCTTTTACATTATAAATAAGCAAGTTTCAAAATAATATCTGGGCAGCTGATCCTTAGTCTAACTCCCTGTCTCCATACTGAAGCTGTAAAAAGGGGAATATTCAGAGATGATGCGTGATCCGGTGTACACATAGAAGATGACACATGTCTACCCAGTACATTCTGTTACAGTTGTTGGATATTCAATTTCTAGACCAGAGCACCTCTTTTCAATTTCCCCACCTGCCTATGGAAAGTGAACTTCAGTACTATAGTTTGCCTCAGTTTTTAAAGCACTTGCCAAGAAAGGATATTTTTGTTTCATTAAACACTTGTGACATTTTTCTCTTTCTTCCTTCTGATCTGTGTTGCAAAGAACAACCTGTAATAAGCTCTCCCACTTCACAACCCAAAATAAAATCTTCTTTTGTTATGAAATACTTTCATGTAAATTATTATAAGGCCAAATTTGGCACAAAACCATGATAGTTTTAAGTTTAACCTTCAAAAATCTCTCAACAAGATTGTATTCCACAGGGTATTTAAAACCCAGGCAGCATGCTCCTGGGGGAAAATGTCCACATGGTAAGGAAGACCCAATCAGTGAGGGATTTAGAGTCCAGCATTGCTATTTCTACTGCTGCAGTTACATCCCAGTATGGCTGCAGACCAGCACGGCCATGGACATACCCAAGGCTTTTCATAGCTTGTTTTGTAAGCATGATTCATTCCAAACACAGCCATGTAATCAGCGTTTAGTTAGTTATCTTGTTGAATGTAGCTTCCCCTTCCCCATTGAACTGGTGAGGTAAGAGCCAACATATAATCTGATGCAGTCTCACGAGAAAGCACAGCACAGCACGGACTAAGCATCCTCAGGGAGGCTGGGCTGATGTCGACATATGTAATACTATTCTTTTATGATTTTGGTGTTTCCAGAAAACAAAGCTGGGAAATGAAGCTTAAAAGGAAAACACCTTATTCTCCTAAATGTGTGCGCATACGCGTGCGCGCACACACACACACACACACAAACCGTATGTGTACATGCATATTTTATTTCTATATGTAATGTATTATTTAGCAAACAATAAAGGTAAAGGAGTCCCACAACTTTTTTTTCTTGTAGACCAGTGTTTAAGTTTATGCTTCTCCCATCAGGACATCTCTTGTGTAGCAGTTCTCAGTTTAATAGGAAGCATTTGCATTTAATTTCAAGAATGCAAGATCAAAAGACTTACCTCTCATATCTCATGAGTTATAGGAAAATTTTATAAGAATATAAACAGTATAAAAACAGCACAAATAAGGTTCTCATTTCCACTTTATGTTCAGGTAGAAAATTTTTAAATCTCCCATGTATTTTGTGATTACTAATAAATTTGGGTTTATTAATATTTATTTTTATTAATTTTTGTTTATTTTGTCAGAAGTTTGCCTTACACTGTCCATCCCTATGGAAAACAGCGAATGATATTACCACAATAGGTCTCCAACCATGGGAAGGGCACCTAGCAACACGATGGTCCTATCTTGGTTACTTTTCTCTCATTGCTGAGATAATATACCCAACACCCAAATTAAGGGAGGAAAGTTTGTTTAGCTCACAGTCTGTAGAGGTTTCAGTCCATAATCATCTGTCTCCAGGGCAGTTGATGACCCTGAACACAGCAAAGCAGCAAGAGCAAAATGGGGAGAATAAACCTCTCTTCCTCCCTTCTACTGTATGCAGATGTCCAGCCCCAAGGTGGATGTAGCATTCACACCATCTCTGTGCTCTCCTCTTGCACAGGCTCAGGATGTTTACATAATGAAGACCCCTTGCTGAATCACCTAGTTAAACTAGAATTCTCAAGGTGACACAATCGTACATTGTACTAACAGATGTCAATTATATAAATAATATTGTAAAGGTAGAGATGAGGATAACTCATGCAAAATAAAAAGAAGCTTGCAACAATTTTTTTATTTGAAAGAGATTAAGACAAAAGAGGACAAAACAAAGCAGATCAGATCAGAACAATGTAAACAACACAGCATTTTACCACAAGACAACCCATAATTAACAATAACTACCATAATGTCTTTCTTTGAAATAGTTGAGCATAACTTCATATGTGATAGTATCAAACATAAAAAAACATTGTAAAACCATTCAAGAGAATGAAAGCATTATAGGGCTTTCAGAACCAAATAACATAGAATGAACAATGGCTACTATATTATCTCATTTTTCATAGAAAATTTGTTTATAATAACACACATAATAAAATCCATTAAGATATAATATGATAGAACCAATGGAAACAGAAGAACAAAAACATAGTAGGACTTCAGAGTAAGATGATATTAAATCAGCACTGGCTATTCTAATGTCTTGTTTTCTTTAAAATAGCTGTTCATACTATCACAGATAATAAAATCAAACAAACTAGGATAAAACCATTCCAACTAATGAATGAAACATTTAAGGCTTCAAAGCAATGTAATGGGAAATCATGATTACCTTAAATTCTTATGTACTCTTACCATTTCTTACACTAGGCGATTATATGATATTTATACACGTGAGTTTGATTTATTTCGCTTATGAGTATGGTCTCAAGTTGCGTCCATTTATTTATAAATATCTCAATGTGATCATTATTTATCTGCAACAATTTGTAATAGCCAGGTCTTGGAAACAACCCAGATGGCCGTCAACTGAGGATGGATAAAAAAGATGTGGTCTTTTATACAATGAAATACTATTCAGTCATAAAGAAGGATTAAACTCAGGGTTTTTACTGGTAAATAAATGCAACTAGAAGCCATATTGATAAGTGAAAAATGTATGTGTAAATACCATATTGTTTTCCTAAAGTAAAAAACTGAAAGAATAAATAAGATCCAAAACTTAAATAGATATAGCAAAAAGGAAAGACACTGCTCAAAGGGAAATTATATTGTTTGATTAATTTTGCATGCCTGTATGTGGTAACGTGAACAACTGTTCTGAAGATAACAATATGCAGTATAACAATCATTGTTAAATTCCTATCATCTTGGTTTAAAATCCTATATTGCTATTGTTTTTATTGTTGTAGTTATTGTTGTATTGTTTATTTCCTTCTTGGTTTTTCTGGATTTTTTTCCTTAAAATTAAAAAAAAAAGGCTGCCACCAAAAACTCATTTGAAGGGCATTTTTCCCTTTTTATGTATTGGGTGAGTGCAGTGTCATTGTCCATTCTGTAAATCATCACAGAGGCCACACAGCAAATGGTTGAGGGATCGGGTTGTGCATCCGGGCTTGTTGGAACTTATTCCCACAGCTCTTCCTTAGTAACTGTTAAAACTACCCTGCATCAGTTCTCACAGCCTCCCTTTTTGTAGCTGAAGAGTGGATGAAAAACCTCAGAGACTGGCTCTGAGATGGACTGACTGCGCACACTGGAACACAGGGCACACAGTCTAGCACACTGTAAGTACTGGGAAACTGTTAGATATTACTTAGGAATGAATTGTTGGGATTGGAGATGGTAAGTATTCTAGATCCACAATGTGCTGAAATCTCCATTTAACTTTGCATTTTCTGTTGAGGGAACATAAAGCGACATGTTTGTCATATTGAATGTTTCATTCTCTCTTGTCATCTTCGTGAGTTCTGTGTGATGAAGAAAATAACCTCAGTAAATAAAATTGCAGCTGGAAAACAAAAAAATCAGCAGTAGCTAGTTTTCTTACAAAAATAAGCAGAAATGTAAGAAATTATTTGCACTTAGTATTGTACCATGTTGCCTGTCTCCATAGTTTTGGAGACTTGAATCAGGAATGACTCTAAGATTAATTATAAAACAGAAAAAATAGTCCTAGTCTCCATCATGGTGTCTTTTCTGCTGTCTAAAGGTCATCCAAGCCTGAAGAATGCCAACCAAGATGATAATTTGGTTTAGTCCTTTCAAGTATTGTCTCATTTTTAAAAGGAAAGTACTCAAAAAAGGAAGAATGTGGGAGTAGTGCAGTGAAAACACACTGTTTAGTCCAGCTACCAGACATTTCTGACAGCTGCCTTTCCTGTACTCTGGCTGTATTTCCCATGTCCTCTTCAACTGATGCGCACCCTTGAGAGTTTTGTGGTTAGCACAAGGAAAGGCAGGGGAATTCCTCTCTGGGGTAAAGCTGTAAGTTATTATCTTAGGTAAGCCGGGAGCTGTGTTTACTCACTCAGACAAAGCTAGCTTGCTGGGAGGAAGATGAATAATAGTAATATGTAGACACTGGAGGAGAAGAGTGTGGGAAACATTAGATCTACTACCTTTCCCAAGTGAAAACATTGGTTCCACTAGATTCATTATGTCCCAGAGGTTTGTTGAAGCGCCAAGTAGTTTTCCTTGTTTTCTCACTGCCTTTAGCTCCTGTTTTGAGTTCAGAAGAGAACTTTTACACTGCCCTTCTGAATTCTCCCAGCCCTGCATTTTTGGAAAGATGCTCTGCAGCTGCTGATTCCATTCAGGCTTACATCAGCTTTCTTTGGGGAAGGGAGATCTGTTTGAGACAGGGTCTTACTATGTAGTTCAGGCTGGCCTTGAGCTTCATGCTTCAGCCTCCAGACTGCTGATATTAGGGGCTACATCAACTTCTTGAAGGTGCCTTTAAATGCCATCTCATGAAACACCCAGGCTCTGTACTTCTTAGTTCCTACTTGTTGACTTTTTGGATATCACAGGATGGGAATCAGCTCCATTGTCCTATGCACAGAATATAGAAGTCCAAGAGATGCCTTTTAGCCACTGTTGACCAATGAGAGTCCATGGATAAATGCTTCCTCCTCTGTTTCCCTGGGGTGTATTTTACGACTTTCAATATATCCCAGGGAGATTGAACTCCGGTACCTGATACCCTGGTCCACGTGTAGGTGGCCAGCTTAAGCAACTCTTCTTTAAGTTGGCTTTTCCTCCTTCCTTGTCTCTCTACCTGCCCTGTATTTGAAAAAAGTTAAAACAGAAGTTTTATGACAAAATAATAGGAGAATGACAGAAGTTGGTACCTTGCATATTGTCATCTTCAAAGTAGTTATTCAGAGTACAAGATATGGGCATAAAAACTTTTCCAATTGATATTAGCACTGACTTTCCTTTTCAATGAATTAAGAAACACTAATAGTATAATTACCTTGCATTTTTCTTCCTTTCCCTTGACTTCCTTTCCTCATCCATCCCTCCTAGTTCCTTTTAAACAATTAATACTCACTTTACAATATCTGTTGTACATTGTAGATTCTATTTATTCTTTCAGTTTCTCATATCAAGGAGATAATGTGTCTACACATGTGAATCTGATTTATTTCACTTATGAGTACAGTCTCGGGTTGCATCTATTTACCTATAAAAGTCTCAAGTTTATCTTTTCATGGCTGATTAGTATTCCATTGTATAAAAACATTGCATCTTTTTTATTCATTCCTCAGTTGTTTCCAAGATTTAGTTATTGCATACTGTGCTGCTATAAACATGGATGCACATATATCACTGTGGTATGATGATTTCAATTCTTCTGGGAAAACATACAGAAAGGGAATAGCTGCATTGAACAGGACCTCCAGTCCTAGTCTTTGAGGAATCTCCATACTGATTTCCACAATGGTTGTACCAGTCTACGCTCCCTCCAGTAGGGTCCCAGGAGAAGGGTTCCTTTTTCCCCCACAGGCCTGCCAGCATTTATTATTGGTTTATTGATGATAGCCATTCTTTCTGGAGTAAGATAGGATCTCTGTGTTGTTTTAATTTGCATTTCTAGAATGAACAGTGATGGTGAACATTTTTCACGTTTGTTTGCTATTTTTATTCCTTCATCTGAGAAGTGTGTATTAATCTCAGACGAGCATTTTTGAATTGGGTCTTTGAATTGGGAGGCTCTCAGGTTTTCTTAATTCATTTATGTTCTAGATTGAAGTCATTTGTCTGACGGAAAACTGGTTAATTTCTTTTCCTACTCTGTGAGTTGCCTTTTCACTCCATTGGTGATTTCTTTTGATGTGCAAAAACTTTTTAATAGGCTGTGACCCCAGTTGCTGATTCTTCAAAGTATTTCTAATGCAATTTGGGTTTTGTTCACAAATCACCTACACTTACGTTTTCAAGATTTCTACCTATTTTCTCTTCCAGTAACTTTGTTTTAACATTTAGATCTTTGATCTACTTTGAGTTTAGTTTAGTGCATGGTAATCGAGATAGATCTAGTTTTAGTCTTCTACATCTAGAGAGCCAGTTTTTCCAGAACCATGTATGAAAGAGCCTGTCTTTCTTCCAATGGATGTTTGGTCTCTTTGTGAGAGATTAGGTGGCTGAATGCACCTGTAGTTGTGTTTGCATCTTCTAACCTGTTCCACTGGTCCTCAGGTCTGATTTTTTGCCATTATTATGCTAATATTTTTCACAGTAGCTTTGAAGTATAATTTCAGGTCAGGGATTGTGATTCCTCCTGCCTTGCCTTTGTTGCCCAGGATTGTCTTTGGTATTTTAGGTCTTTTCTAAATGAATTTTAGAAGTGTTTTCTCTAGATATGTGAGGTATGCTAATGGTATTTTGATCAAGATTGCATTAAATCTATATAACAGTTTTGGGAGTATGACCATTTTCACAATGTTGTTTCTTCCTATCTATGAGCAAAGGATATCGTTCCATTTTCTGATACCTCTTCAGTTTCCTTTTTCAGATTATTATAATCTTTTACTCCTTTGTTAGATTAGTTCCTAAGTATTTTTTTGAATGCTGTTATGAAGGATGTTGTTTTTGTAATGTCTCTCTTAGTGAGTTTATTGTTTGAGTACAGGAATGCTATTGATTTTGTATCCAACTATACTACTAAATTTGCTTATTAAATCTCACAGACTTTTGGTGGATTTGGGGGGTGTTCTATGTAAAATAATGATAATTTAACTTCTTCCTTTCCTATTCACATTCCCTTTATTTCTCTCTCTTGTCTGGTTGCTCTGGCTAATGTTTTCAGAGAGACATTGAATAGGAGTGGTGACAGTAGACGTCCTGATCTTATTACTGATTTTGGAGTAAAAGTTTTCAGCTTTTGTTCATTTAATATGACATTCACCCACTGTTCTTTAAGCAAATTTGCTTTGGGTTACTTTTTATCCTAACTAGCTTCAAAGGATTAGAACAGGCTTAATTTCGAGTTTCAGTTAAGTGGTTGGTGCATTGTCCATTTGTCAAGTTAAGGAATCTCTGCCTCAGTTTGTGTATGGAATGGTGGCACTGGGCTCATTTCTAAGGTTCCATTCACCTCAAAGGTTCCGTGATGTGAGGAAAAGCCAGACACCCCAAGAAGCAGAGCTCTAGTGGTAGAAATGCAGCCAGGGGAACCACTGGTCCCTCCAGTCCTCACAACCTTGGCAGTGCCATGGCAGAGCAGGCCCTTGCTTTTCAAGTGTCCCTTAATTCAGGGTACCAGGGAGGGAGCAGTGACCCTGGATACTTTTGAGAGTGGAGCTTATATATAAATATAGCACATCTAAAGCTCTGAACCATCACCAAATGTGATTGAATTGTAATTAGTCAAAAATTAATATTACCATGAAAAATCAGAAATTTTGCAAGACATTATTTACAAGACATTACAAGAATTCCCTTTCATCTGTGCAAACGCAAGTTTCACTGACTCAGAAGGTCCATACAACTTCTGTTGGTTTCAGTGTTCTCAAGCTTCAGATTTTGGCTTTGATTCTTATCCTTTCCTTGTATTTTATTCTATTTTATTTTACTTTATTTTATCATTCATCAGTCCTGTCCCTAGGAACTCAAGAGCACTGATTCTCCAGGACTCATCAGTCTGTAGAACTCTCTACCTTGAATCAGCATCATCTAACTTTCTTTTGGTAAGGACTGGGTAAGACTTCAATTCCTTCTACTTGAATATTTTTCTGAAAATCTGACCAGCACAAGTGAAATAAATAATTATATAGCTTTTTAAAAGGAACAGTATGGAGGTATAGTCCTGTGGTTCCATTAACATGAGAGCCCGAAGCAGTAAGATTGCAACTGGGAGACCAGCCTGATCAAAATTACTATACTACACTATACTATACTATACTATACTATACTATACTATACTATACTGGGATAGTGACTGTAGTTCAGTAATAAAGTATTTACCTACCATACACAAGAGGACAGATTCAGTCACTAGTACCACAAAAAAGAGAAAGAAAACAAAGAAGCAAAAACAAATGTTTAATATCTCAGGCCATGACAAACAGTGAGCTTATCAACATACAGTGGGAATTAACACAGCAAAACTACAGCAAGAAACTGAGAGGGCAAACAGTAGAAAATATACTATGTGTACCTAGTATTATACTTGGGCTGTGTGAAAGGGGAGATAGGGCCTTTGACAACTGGAAAGAGAAAGACAGAAAGACTTAGAATGAAGAGTGTCTTGATGATCAAAGTTTTCAAACAAAAATAA